AAGGAAAGCAATGAGAAAAGTGCATGAGTGCATGTATGCAGTAAAAAAGCAGTTTGGTATGGGCAAAAAATAAGAACAACGAAAAAGAAAATTGAGTTAATGATGACAAAAGTTTAGTGACGCCATGGTTAGGTAAGGATATCGTGGGAAGCACATGCAGACAACCTACGTTTTGTGGGCATTAGCAGCACGTCATTCTTCGAGAGTCCTCCGTTCTTTTGTCCAAACCAAATACTGCGTAGAGTTTCAAGAATCTCCTTCACTAGAAGTCCCTTCTAACTTCCACACGTAATTATTCACCCCCCTAACAAAAACAAAAACAAAAACAAATTTCACGTGGTAATTATTGGAAACTGATTGTCTTTCATCTCCAACCACCTCCATTTTTCTTTTGTAGTTTTTTCATCTCCAACCACCTCCATTTTCCTTTTGTAGTTCTGAATTATTTACATTCATTCTTATTTCTCCCGTCCTTTTTGCAGTTTTAATTATTCTATTGCTTCGTTACAGGTGAAAAAGAATCAAGTCCTTTTTTCCCAAGTCATTTTCATCTATATCCATGAGCCCATTAATCCAATTTTGTTATATGTAGATAGTTTTTAAAATATATATATTTGGTTGCACTCTTCTAGTTTACGTACACACATAATATAAAATTTAAATTCTTTTTTTTTTGCTTTTATTTAAAAGAATTATCATTTAATTACTTAAATAGTTAAACATTATTTATAGACTTTTATGCAAAAATAACGATTTAAAAAATAAAAATTTGGCACATAAATATCATATAAGTAATGTTATAAAATAAATTAGTGTATACAATATTATGAGTTTTAATAAAATAAAAAGAATTCATCATTAAATAATATATAATTTACTTTTTAATATTTTAAATAACTTTACTTATGTTATATTTTTTATCTTAAATTTTAATCCCATAAAATTCTTCCCTTTATCATTATCATTTATGCAATGATTGTCGTTTTTCCTTGTGTGCAGTGTTATTTTACTGAATTTGTCCAAATGCGAATGCCAATCACCTACCCATTGCCTGGGTATCGGGTCCACCCTCTTACCACGATACTCATATGTTCATCCCCCAATCTCATCCTTACCTACTGCCAAAAAGAAGAAAAGGTAAAGGAAAACAAAATCCCAAGAAGAGGATTAAAGTTATTGCTGTATCATACCCACGGGCGTGCTTAAAAGTCACCCGTGAAATTGCTAAGAACATTAATTTT